GAACTCCTTAGCCGCCCTACGTTTGCCTGTATTGGCCTGCATCTCCACTAATCTTTGTGTTGGACAGTAGTTTCAAGTGGCATTTGAGTTTATTAGACTGTTATAAGACAATCTACCATGGGCCAGTTTTCAATCACTCAATTTTTACGCTGAGGGCTTCGACACGGCATTTTGCCTATTACCTTCTCCAGGTCGTACTTAGCCCTTTCCTCAAACATTTCCTCATTTTGAGTAAACGTGCTCGTTTTTAACAATTCATATGTGTTACCGGCGGTCACACCTGATCGATAATGAGTTCACCCACCTTCGGGCAACTTTTTGGATAGACGCGCCATCCACCTCTTTCGCGTGGTGCCTGAGCCGCTGATATGCATGTTTGTAGCTGGAAGCCGACTTGCTCCCTCCGGCCTGTATCTCCAAGATATTGTGCCTTGATAGTGGCTTGATCCTGCCTGTTAAAACTAAGTTTACTATTGAACTTTTTAGAGGAGGCTCTCGTGTTTCGATCAAAGAAGTTACTTGCTTGGGAAAACAACTCTTTAGGGCCCTTAGATGTCGCCTCCATTAAATGCAGGGGCTCATGATCGTCTGGCTCTTGTTCTTGCTTCGCTCTCTTGAAGGTTGGGTTCTGGTTTGAAAATATGTGCTTTTCGACCTCCGTGGAGTTCGAGCTCGAGACACAATGCCTCAGTCCCTTTGAGGCGGCAGTTTCGGTGCCTTTTGCATCCAGCTAAGCCGGGTTCTTAGACGAGTTTAGAGGTGTTTGCCTCCACTAGTGTGTCACGATGACAGTGCTATTACTGCTAGTGTTCTAACGAAAATATAAGGACCGAGGTAAAAACGTAAAACTATAAATCACAAATATCACAATTTACAAACGCACTTATTACACGCGCAACCTCATAAATTACAATATCGGCACAGCGGAAAGCTAATAAAATGATACAGGTGACCAGTAATTTAAAAATGCGCAACGAAAACTGGTCTCAATTTAGTAATGATTACCTTCGGTGTTATCTTAGTAACAGCCATATGATAACGGCGACCTTTAACTCTTGATTAAATTGTCGCGGCTCTACTTGCATCTAAATACAAATTCTTCATTCATTCAGAAACCTTCGCGCTGTATACAACACGATGTTTCTCAACTTGGTAGGCGTAGTTGCACAAATTCTACTTATCGTTAACGGTGAAGTAGTTAATAAGTCAGAGGTCGTTTTGGTTAACGTTGTAAGTACAATAACATTATTTTCTTAATTCCTCTGTTAAATTGCTACTTGAATCCGTATTTAATAGTTGTTTAGACACGGCGAAAGAACTCCAGAAAGTTTCTATCCGACCGACCCACATAAAGAGAACAATTTTTATCCAAATGGAATGGGAAGTCTTACCAATGTAGGTAGTGGATATCCTGCGCTTTTGTAATGCATTTTGTAGAAAGGGAAGCGCACAGTGCACAGATTAGGAGTATTTCTACGAGATGAATACGATACTTTATTGGGAAATTTCTACGAATCTAGTAAAATCTATGCCCGATCCACCGAAAGTCCTAGAGCACAGATGAGTGCTCTATTAGTCTTAGCGGGTCTATGGCCACCGAATCCTGATCAGCAATGGCACCCTACTTTGCTATGGCAACCAATACCTATCCATGCTAAGGATTATCATGACGAAGACGTAACTATTCCCAGAGTTGCTATCCATAGTAACCTACACTATTATAGCTACTAGACTCTAGGGCATGCAAATACTCTTACTTATTTAAAGATTTTTACCTAAAAAATCACACCATGAACGAAAAATTTCTTAAACCTTACACCGAAATGTTGCAATACATAGAAAATAACTCCGGAATGGCAGTAAAGGACTTAATCAGTCTTCAACGGTTTTATTTTATAGTCACCACCGAGGTAACACTCGTTACAACATTCAGGTTGTCCTGAACTATGTTTTAGCACGAACTTGGTTTGCCCTTACCGAATTGGACCCAAAAGGTGTATCCTGAACCAATCTATAGTGCTGTGTCGTCGATTTACAAATATTTTAATTCAGATTTGAGACTAAGACAAATTAATGTTGGATACTTACTTCAAAAAATGATAACGGATTTTAATGATAAAATAAAAGGGATAGACGTTAAAAAAGTGATGTATCTCTATTCAGCGCACGACACCACTTTAGGATATTTTCTAGACGCCATAAGTGTAATAACTCCACACGTACCAAAGTACGGTAGCGCAATTCTATTGGAACTCCATCGATACGACGGAAATTACTTTGTCAAGGTCAGTTTCCAGTTTCCTTTGTTATTATTATCTAAATCAAAATGTTATGAAAGGAGTGAAGTAACTGAAGGGTAATTAGTTATTGTGTTATAATCGTGTAATTCAACCCGAAATGGCATGTGATCTAACACGTTCTTTTTCCAGGTCCGTTACCTGAGATCACCCCAAGAGCCATACGCACAAGACCTACGGTTCCCAAATTGTGACGTATTGTGCCCTTTTGAAAAGTTTGTACACTTATATGCTTATCTGATCCCGAATATTACCCATAAGGAAGCGTGCGCACGGGCCACAATTTAAAATTGGCAAGGTTGATGTTTGTGATTATATGGGCGTATTTTTTTTAAATTAATGCTTGCTTAAGGTGTCGTGGAATACCACACTGATTCAGTAATTTAAGGAGGAGGCACGTATATCATCTTTTCGACAGTAGATACTAGCATGGTCTTGGCTGGGTATAGTCCGAAAGGAATTTATCTCGTTGTTTATTCTATGTTCCTAATTGTTTCAGAAATCATAAACAGATATGTCTAATTGTCTAATCATTTTCAGAACTTTCATATGTTTTCTGTTTAGTTTATTCTAAGCTGTATATCTAGTAAATTCGATAATAATTAAATTGTGTTGAACAAAAATTAACAACACAACAGCTTGTCCTTCTATCTATTACCTTTTCATGGTTTAGGGTTATTTGAGAAATCGTAATCGTAAACAATAATGCATTCAATATTGTCATCATCATATTATAAATGTGACTTATGTTTCTAGATGCGCATAAAAAAAGGTCAGATACGTATGATTTTTGAAAGGAAACAAAAACTTTACAACAAGTCAATACTAGGGACCTAATGATGGTAGCAAATAATAGCAGCATAGAATAACAAATGCGTGTCACAATAATTAACAATTATTGCGCCCAGATCACTTGTGGTTATTTAGTAACAGGATTGTGCCTTCAAAACGTTTTTCACAAATTACGGTGACGTGACGTTACTTTTGATATAAAGGTTAGACAATTGCGCCTCAATACCTAAAAAAGTAACATTGAAATTATTCCTTGAATTATTCGAATTGTTGGTTAGCACAATTATGAATCCTGAAATGAACAACAGTTTTAATTAAAAGTCAACATTATTTATGTTCCTAAGAATTAATTATGGCTAATTTGCGCATAGCTATTAATAGGTATGTCATTAAAGTTGTTCTTCCCCCTTAGCGTCTGTTTCAGAATTGGAGAGAGTAATTCACCCGGGTATAAAAGAGTATGAATATTTTTAAGTGTACAACAAATGCCACCAAGCACATGCATTTGAAATGGGAAATTTAAAATTTTAAGCATCCGATGTATAATGGGTGTAGGCACAATGCGATCATTAATCATTTCCTGTACCACCCTTATGAAACGTGATTTTAATAACTATTTGTCGCGACGCATGTGAGGCTGAACTAATCAAAATCTAACCCTCCTGTCACCTCCCGTTTGATCCATTTATTTCCACAACCATTTTTCTACATTATCTGTTCGTTTTACAAAACAGTCTTCGTCAAGGCTACCAATTTGCAACAAATAATTGCAAGGGGGGTAAATTAAATTGTAAATCAGAAATTCATGTTTTACCGTTTTAGATTGTAATATTCTGCAATTTTGACATGCAAGGGGAATTTGAAGAGGCATATCGTGAACATGTCGTTGATTACGAGAACTTACGCCACTTTATTTTTCGATTTGACTATACAGAAAGTGTTGCTTGTCGAAAATCCCCTGATCGCCAAACAGTTGCTCAAGAGGCGGTAGTAGAAGATGTGCGTCCTCGTCTGGTTTGTCATATGGAACCTGTCAGAAAATAATAATGAAAAAATTGCATTTCTAACCGTACAAAGTAACCGTGCTACAAGAACCTCATCGTCCCGACTTTGAAAAACGTGTAAATTTTTATGAAATTATTTTAATGAAACTCTACGAGACGACAATTCATTAGACAAAAGTTATTTCTCGTATGAGGCTTGGTTTCACCTTAGTGGATACGTTACATCCACTGAACTATAATTAAACTGGAACCCGCACTGCCGATCTCTGCCATAGAAACGTAGCGAGAGAGAGAGAGATTGTGCAAGGGGGATTTCTGTCACAGTCACTCATTGGGAAACTGATCATTAATATAAATTCAAAATATGTCAAATAGGCTGCTCTATGCATGCGCGGAAGTAGGACAGAGATGTGGCCCTCTCTCTCGGATAGCGCATCCCAGTATAATTTTAGTTCAGTAGTTACTTCCCAAAACAACCGAACTTGGAGTGCTGAAAAACCGTATGTTTGTCAGGACTCTCCGCTTCATCCTCTGAAGGTAGGCGTGTGGTTAGCGATGTCGAGAAGGCGAATTTTGGAGCCGATATTCCTTGACAATGCCCAAAGTTACCGTGCAATGTTACAAGTGTTTATTGATCGACTTTACGGCGATGAATTGCAAGGAGATTTCTTCTTTTCATAACATAACACAACACCAACTTCATGCAGTTTTCGAAACAATAAAGAAGAGAGTGGATCTGTGTCACCTTAACGGAGGAGACATTTTTTGTAACTCGCAACTGTTGCAATACAATTTGTAGAAGAAACTAAATCACGTTTCAGTTACAAAGTAATGTTTGCTATGTAATTTCAAATAATTTGGAAATAAATGTTACAATTACATGATTGCTTTTAATCAACATTTAATAAACGGTTGTGTTTCATAAAAGCTAGAGACAGTGTTTAGATCAATGTTTCGTAATTTATTTGCGTGTATAGGTCATGAAGCAGTTGTAACAGTTTGCATTGCTGGTTATAAGCAAACTCCTTTTATCCTTTTTATGGAACTGCATACATCAGTGGTAATCGTTCAACTAAGCAAGTTATTTTTGTGACAGAACATAAACAATTAATTTTATTCCCATAAGCTTCTATGTCAACATAATTAATTTTTGTAAAGCGCTGTAAATTTAATTAAAAACTAATTGTATAAAATGGGTAATTACAGTAATAAAAGAAGATTTTTCGACAAGTAACCTGTGTCCATTAGAGTCCTTTTTCCGAACTACCATAAGTTAGGTCTTGTTTCGTTACGGGTTTTGAGACTGCTTCACGGTGGTAGTTCATCCCGTTCTCCAACTATCCAATTGCCATAAGTTAAGCCTCTACGCAAAATGTGAAACTGTGTCCTGGTGGCAATCACCCCAAGAAAACTCTCCTCAAAATTGTATTCAGTCCCAGGTTCGCAATCATCGCCTGATAGATTTTAAGTCAACGTTTTGTTTTGTCTTTTAAATCGCGTGATCCCTTTTTATAGTTTCCCAGCTCGAGCTAGGTGGCTATTGCGATAACCGCTTTTTGTACAGGGTGTAAATCGAAAAGTGGAACATAGGCGTTTAACATGGGAAATTACTTTTTCTTTGCGCAAATGTTTCCTAATTATTTTACGCAAAAATACTTCAAATAAAAGTTATAGAGATATAAATTCTGCATCTAAATCATGTGAAACGATTATTCTACCTCTTCTTGTACGCGAAAATATTAATTATAAAGATTCTGTTTTCACGAGTTTTTAGTCTAAGTAGCCATGGACTATGATAAAAGAAAGAACGTATCATAAAAAACTACTCTAGCCTCCTTGCATTGAGCGGTTCTATAATAAATTGTCAGGTAAGATCAATCTACATAGAATATTTTTAACACTTAATCGTAACTGAGGTTTTTCCTACAAAATAAAGTAATCGTAACTAAAGAGTAAAGGCACAGATCTGTGGTAAAATGAATGTGCAACAATGACTCATTGCCTTGAACTTGAGGCTCTAATTGTGAGTACCGAAAAGTTAAATATGAAGCAATTACATGCTAAATGAATAATGTTTCCTGATTAGATTTCTCCTTTTGCCTTTGCGTAACACCGGTTTCTCAATAAAGTAACTAAACAAGTTCTCGTCGGCAACAAATAACTTAAACATCTTAGAATTATCATGCAATGGACATGAGTCAGTTATTGGTATTGATTGTGTTTATCCCACTGGTGACTAAAACGTGTATAGCCGACGATGAAGACACATTGCAGCAAGTTCACATAGTAAGTGTATTCATTTGTTTGAATAAAGTTCGCTATAAAAATAATGCGAAACTAACTGTAGGCCATAAACGGCGCGTAATTATTATTATTTTTGTCATTCTTGTCAACAGTGATGTTATTTACTTTAACGGCGACCTTATGCCGTGACCTAATAATTATTACGGCTGTTATTATTTGATTTTGGTACATTGCCGCATTCGATCAAGTTGTAGCGGCATGTACAGAAGAGTAACGTTCAACGTTAGCAACTGGTTTTTCCTTACTCCATATTTAATTGCGGTGTAGATAATAAGTTTTTAGTCCAAAAGGAACTTGTTCAATTCAAAATTGCTTACTACCCAGCCGAATGTTGCTTCTTTATGCTAAAAATTAAAAGATGACTGAATTTAGAAATACCTATCTTGTCATATTCGTGGCTTTCGAGGTCAAATATGCACATTAAGAAAGTCGCCATGGCAACCGTTTAAACGAACTCAACTATGCGCACCAGGAGTCGCCGTCACAAGCTGGATCTACTGGACTGGAATGTTCCAGTTTCAAGATTTTCGAAATCAACGAACGCATCACTTCCAATTTTTGAAATGGTTTTGTTTACTTTTTATCCATGTGAGCCTACTAAACAGATATCTGTATCACGTGGCGTATAGGGGAAGCTAAGAAATTTATTATTTCTTCCACTCCACCCACGAGTTAAGATGGTCCTACCTTTAAATCTCGCGGGATTCCGTTCGTATACGCCAAGGTATACGCAATAAAGTTAGGTTTCCAAACGTCAATGACCGGCCCGTGTAGTTCACTACCCATGCTTGGCTTCTGAGATTGCCGTTTTTAGTGGGAGCGTGGGAGGCTGCAGTCACCACTACTACGCTTAAATGCTCATTTTGTACTGCATTTCCCTGTGAAATAGATTTTTAACTCGAAACCATAGAAATTCGATGTCGACGTTTTCTTGTACATATAGCCTAATACATAGATGTTTCAGTTTTTTAGACATGGTAAAAGATACCCATCCGAGAGAGAATTATATCCCAAGGATCCTCATTTGACATTGTTTAACCTGGATCACTGGGAAAAACTGACCAGAGTAAACTTAGCTTCATACCAAGAACTACTTATGACATTTCTATTACTAGTATTGTAGATTGGCGAGAAGGAGTCATGCATTCTTGGAAATATACTACGTGCACATTATGGCACTTTTATAGGAAGCTCCTACAATCCGGACGAAATAATTTCCAAAGATTCTGGAACGGATAGAACCATGAAAAGTGCACAACTATTGCTGCATGGGTTGTTCTCTAAATGCGAATTTAGCGCACTTCCCAGCTACAACATTACATCAACAACTTATGTAACAAATACCTACTGGTTTTTATGTGTTTTCAACGTTTATGTTCTGTAGGAATTGCAACAACCTAGATATTTTTGCCCAGCATACGACGAGGAGCTCAATCACTTGCTTTCGCAAAATGAAAGTAGCAGTATACTTGAAACTAATAAAGATTTGCTACAGTACCTTACTGAGAAGACGGGGCGTCGCATGAAGTCACTGATGGATGTTTTCTTCCTACACGGAGCACTTTCGAGGGAAAAAGATTTGGGCTTGGCTCACCCACTATGGGTGGATTCTGTTATGAGCCGTATCACCGATTTGGCAATTGCCAGGCTCCATTACGAAAGTGGCAATGATCAGTTAAGGAGGTTAAACGGAGGTAAAATAACTAATTAACACGTGGCTTGATGTTTCAACGTTACTACTGCTTTAGGGAGGTTGCTAAAGAATGTCGTAAGCAAGATGAAGGCATTTGTCGACGGAGCGGAAAGGCAAAGAAAGATGTTTTTGTATGCCTGTCACGAATTTAACTTGTACAGTATTTTAACAATGTTGACCGAATTTGAACCGCATATTCCTGAGTGTAGTTCGGCTGTGGCGTTTGAACTTCGCAAGCGATCGCAAAACGAAGATTACATTGTAAAGGTACGTACAATTCCGAAACGTTGTTGATCTTAATTGAACTTGATTATAGATGGTGTATTTTAAGAACACCTTGGTACCACCACATGAACTATTGTTCAAAAACTGCTCCTGTAAATATTCCGAGTTTGAAAATCTCACACAATCAGTTCTCCCAACGAACTACACAAAAGAATGTCGGGCCACCACACCACTTGATTGAAATTAATTAGACAATTATTGTTACTTATCGTCAAACTAGCTTTTTTATTTCTGATGTCCGACCCACATATCCATACTTGACTCTTAATCGGGAACATAACGAAAAATCTGAATAGAAAAACTAGAGGATAAGTGTTAGTAACACTACATAGTGGGTGCACAATAGCGTTTATTTTCTGCAGAATTGCGCTGGACAGCAACTCAATTTGAAACAAAAAGGTATCACTATCGTATCAAAATACTATTCAAAATTGTTCCATAATAAAGATCATTCCATATCTTTAAAAAAACAGGTTTTTCATGTTCAGGAGGTGCTTCTATAGTACATTATGAAACAAGTGTATAATCAAGATTTTAAAGCACGCGAAACATTGCAAGTGCTTGATGGACCAATTATACGCGCGTTTCATATGGTATTTTCTATTATATCTATAATATAATTAAAAAATATACAAATAAAATGAAATCACATTGACGTTATGCTCGAAAACATTCTTATTTAAATGGGTTGATTATTCGTAATTCCATGATTGCCATGTCACTTGTTTACTTATAAAAAAATCTCCGTTTTTTGTGAATGAAATGACTTCGGTTGACGAACATAATACACCGTCCATTCAAGGGCTTGTTGCAAAAGCAGAAAAAGTTGGTACCTGTAAAATCCAAATGCATATTATATGGAATATGGAAAGTTGTTGACGTGGATGAATAGGAAACATCTTTCAAACAGTCCTAAGCGCATTCACCCACAACTTCAAATAATGCTGAGATTAAAAACAGATTTGGCAGCATACCTACCTACTCTAAACCACGGTCGTTTGTGAAAGCTTCCAACAGAGGATGAGAGCCGAAAAGACATCTTTTGCATTTTCACAATGCGATCAGAAAGGATTTTTTAGTTCTGTCCCAGATTATAGTTTCATATGTGGTATTTGAAGCAACGTTACTTAACCTTTCAAGCTCGGCGTGCTTTAGTCACCTTTTTCAGCGTAGGCGTGTTTTAATCAGCGATTCTGTGGCAGGTATAATAAAATAGTGACAAGTGTATAATCAAGTCTTTAAAGCACCCGCAACGAGTTTTAAACGTTGCAAGTGCTTTAAAGATCAGATATACACGTGTTTGTAACAGTATTTTTTATTATATCCGCGATGTAATTCAAAAATAAGGGAAAATAGTTATATATGTATCAAGGCCATTAAGGCGATGTTTATTCCGAGGGCGACAGAGCCCGAAGGCCTCCGGCCCGAGGAATTGTAAGTTCCCCGAGCGTTAAATATCGAGTAATGCCTGAGGTGCACGTGCATACAACATTATTTTTATTTTTCAGAATTCCAAATAATGTATTTCCAATATACGAATGTAATGATTACTGTTTGTCCAACGTTAAAGTGCTTCACACGAGTCAAGTAGCATCTTTTTTTCATGAATTTGAAGTTTGATTAATTTACGGAAGTAATGTATGGTAGAATTTCAGATCTTGTTATCAAGATATCCATTGAAGTGGCGATTGTTTAAATGGAGCGCCTTGTAGATTGTTGTGTAATCAACGTCATGTTGACGTATTGGTCGAGATCGGCATAATAACAATGGGTCACCCTGTATGCGGATGATCAATTTTTTAAAGTGAAAGATTTAGTCTACCAACTCATACTGCCAGTCAGGGTTAGAAATCCAAAATTACAACAAACTATTGTGAAAGACAGCAAAAATTCCAGAAGTTTCAAACCCTGCCTTTTCTGAATCTAAGCATTACACCACTAAAAAAATTAGATTAGGAATGTGTCCAGTTAAGATCGGGCGTATGAGCTCATTGCGAGCAACCAAGTACAAAACTCCTACTTGAAAGCATAACCGTAAACATAACATATACATAATGCTAAAACAGTGAAATACTACGTTTTATTTAGTATGAGTTACTATCCATTAGCTTAGATTTAAGTAGCCATGGATCGTAGGGTTAAAAACGTATAGTTGAGAATGGCTCTTTCTTTGTAAATTCCATTACTGTGCCAATGTAACATTCTACAAACCTCCATAGGACATTTAATGTACTTCATCTGGTCGTTCAAAGAACGTTCACTTGTTGTTCTATGTCGGTGGTTCCAGTGTTAGTTATTGAAATCATCAAAGTAGAAAGAATGTTTTAAATTCTTCTTGCACACTGGTTTTCCACAGTTTTCCATCATGCTGTTACCACTATAAATTTTAGTAGAACGTTTATGTTATCATTCTTTATTACGAAGCAAGATTATAAAATAAGCAACAACGTATAACAACTTTTAAACTATCTTAATTTACAATTTGAGTTTAAACATTACCTACAAAACAGTAAGTCTGTAAACAGTATGTTCCCTTTGTGTCCAGTTGGGCAGTCTATAAATGTCTATCTAATATTAATTTTAATTGCCTATATACTACGTTTTTATTCATTTCTCTATTTAATTTTATCTATTCGTTTTTTTTTATTTAGAAACATTTATTTAATTGTGCTATTTAATATCATTTAAATACGTTCTCTATATTTTCATTTCCTAAAAATCACTAAGTGTTTTACCACGTATAAGTGAACGACAAACGTATTGCTTTCAACTTAATTTTACTAGTATAAAAACTACAAAAACAAAACAAAAAAAATCTTATTTAAATAAAGGGAACTTTTTTACTTTATGTCCACTTTTAAATTTGGCATTCAAAGCGTTTTTAATTCGGACAATGTTCCGAAACTGTGGACACAGGTTTTGAAAATTTACTAAGGCAATTGAATTACCACACTGATGAATTACACACCGCAATCTTAAACGCGCCATTTGCAAAGAGCCAAAGCAGTGTAAAGTATGATCATGGGTGAAAAAATAATTGATTAAATTAAATAATTACGGAGCATGCAGGTAAGCATACAACAAACGACGCTCATTGATAATAGTCGGGTAGTTTAATGTGTACTGTACGTCACCCCACAGACACATTCTCAAGCATCATTTCACTAAAGTATTTTTTATCATTACAAAAATTACCAAGCTACATTTTTAAGGCACAATCTGGAAGTATATTGTAAAAAGCAGATAACAAGATCTATCTAGCTTTTTTCGATTTACTTCTAGATGATATTCCATTGAGCCTAAGATGAAAGTGACCGAAAATGTATTACAAATATGTATTGCATTTACACACGCTATGACGCTAATTATATCTGAAGGTGTGGCTAGACGTTGCTTTAGTCAATTGTAAAACAATATGGCTATACTGATGATAAGTTAAGAACCTTAATATTACATAGCATTTCTAACTATCCTGAGCAATGTATTATACCCTGTAAAAAAAACTTTCACTCAATCAAATTCTTTCAGTTTAAATTAGTCATCTATGCCCACTCTTACATCTGATTTAACGATATCAACGTTAATATACAATTTCATTATTGTTGATCTGGTTATGATATGAAAATAGATCTACGTTAAGGCATAACGAGTTACTGTGGAGGGTAACGAACGAGCGACGAGTCCGATCCGTTCTTGTCGATAGGTACGCGATCGTCGTAAAGCGTTGGCGCCTGCAGGATTATTCCCGCCGTTCCCACCAGCACAGCCAAAGTAAATATCCACAAGAAAAGACGATCTAACACCATCGCGACATACTTCCAATCCTCTTTGACCTGAAAGGAACACGGCTTGTAAACTCAATTCAGCTGTTTCGATCTACTACCAACCTTTGTCGAGTCCTCCAACATCTTGGTATGTTCGGCGATAAACCTCACACAAAAACACGATTTATGAATTTCTGGTGGACAGCGTGAGTGCGAAAATGCGACGTTTCTCAATATCGGACTTTTGATAGCTGCGTCGGTTTCTTCTGCTGTAACAGTTAGGTCCTCTGATTCAGAATGCGGCATCCTAACCGACCCATGTATTTGACAGCGACCGCTGAATGGGCCTCCATCCGGTAAACTGAAAAAGATATCTTTTTTAATTGTAGGTTGAAACTGAAAATATGCCATTTTGTTGTTTGTTTTTTTGGTTGGTGTGTGGTGAGTCTGGCGTACCCAAGCTCATTGATCACTCGTCTATGCCTGTAGCGTGCTTTTAAAAGCAACGGCCAGAATAATAAATGACCAACTACCTCGTACTTATTACACCTGTTTGAACAAATTTCGTGGAGAAATAACTCTTGAGTGATATACCTAATACGCATAATATGCATATTTTGGTTCTTAAATTTTGGAACTAATTATTTCTTTTAAAGGACTTGTACCAGAGCTTAGGGTGGGTGAGTAAAACCACAATGCCAAAAAACCCAAAACTGATTTTATTGCCGGCCGTGAACAAGAAAACTAAAATAACATTGCATAAACAAAAAAATCTCTCTACAAACCTAACAGCCCCTTACCTAAAACCAGGCAGCGCGTTACCAAATTAAAAAATTTTGTCCCAGCCGCAACCCACAGGATTTAAGTAGTCTTAACCGCGACGCAACAACAAATCAAAATGAGCTCTCTCATAACCAAACCAAACACGCATGTCACCTGAACATCAAACCTTATCAACATTAGTCCACGGGCGTAATTTTAAAGCTTACAAGTGGCGTTCATTCTCAAACGAATAACTAAAATAACTATTAATTCTAACGTGCAAATTAATATCCTGTACAACAATGCCCCCCCCAGGTTAAAAACATCATCATGGTGGCTTTTAACCTTTCCATGCAGGAATATACGGCTTTAAATGGGTCACATGAAACATGCCCCTTTCCACGTCACTATCACAATGAACTAATACATATGTTAAAGGGCCCACAGATTTTTTTATCCTGAAAGGACCTTCAAACAAAAGCATAAACTTTTTTGTTTCGGCTTTAATCGCGGAAGAAGTAGGATTACTCCTTAACAAAACTAGGTCTCCCGGATTAAATGTTGGAAACGGTCTGTTGGAACAACGCGCATTACGCCGAGCGGCCGCACTAACTAACGTCTCCCTAGCTAGTATTAATTTTTTTTCGTCGGCCATGTCGTCAACATCCGCTTCATGCTGGTGAGGGCCTCTCCTATTTTTTGGTAACAAATCCGTAGATTTAATGCCAAGTTGTAATTCATTTGGGGTAAATCCCGTTGATTCATGAACCACCGTATTTAAGAATAACGCAAAATTTTGCAACTCATAGGCCCAACGGGTGTGCTGCTCATGGCAATACGTTCGGCATAACCGTCCCAACTCACGCATAACGCGCTCACAAGGGTTACTTTGTGGACGCCGTATTGACGAACGAACTAGTTGAATGCCCAAAGAGTGCAATTTTTCCTCCCACAATTTTGACGTAAATTGAGTACCGTGGTCGGTTAGTAAACGAACGGGCTGTCCGTGTTTGACGAAAAGATCGTTCGTAAGCCTATGCAGAATACTACGTGTGGTCGCTTTTTTTAGAGCATATAAAGTTACATACTTAGTGAATACGTCAAGCACCACACATACAAACGAAACCCCGGCGCGACTAGACGGAAGAGGGCCATAGATATCAAGGGCGACCAGGTCGTTTTTACCCTTCGGAATAATGGCTTGTAAAGGCGGATGAGGCATGGGACAACATTTTGCTTTTTGACAAATATCGCACGTTTTCACCCACTTTTTTACATCTTTGTGCATGTTGCTCCACCAGACTTCAGCCTGCAATGCCTTCCACGTTTTATATGACCCAAAGTGTCCCAACGTCAAATGAAACGCTTCAATCAGGCCCACCCGACATTCCTTGGGTATACATAACTTGCACCTCCCATTTTCTTGACGTATATATAATACCTGGTCCGATAAAATAAACCGTCGCCCCAATGATTCGTCCAACGGCAGACGTCGAATAATATTTCCTAATTTTTCATCATTCAACTGATGTATTTGGATACCTTTAAGCTGCTGCTGTACATTTCGCGGTAATTTTAGCAAAAATAATATACGAAAAATTTTGTCGGATGGAGTAGGTGGTCGACTCGCGGCATACCGAGAAAGCGCATCTGCTATCGTATTTTGCGGCCCAGCAATATGTTTCATTTCGAAATCGTATTCCTGAAGAACTAACGCGTACCTGGCAATGCGAGCTGAGAGCAACCGACACGTTTTTAAATACACAACAGCACTGTTGTCCGTATAAAGAATGAACGGTCGGCCTAAAAGGTAAATCCGGAATTTCCCAAAAGCCCACACCACCGCCAACGCTTCCCTCTCATTAATACTGTAACGGCGTTCCCGATCTAGCAGTGCACGACTGGCCCAAGCTACCACCTTCCGCTCCCCATCTACTACCTGGTACAATTGCGCCCCTAAACCTACATCGCTGGCGTCGGTGTTCAAACAGTAGGGTAAATCTTCTCTCGGGTGCCAGAGTAATGTATATTCCGCTAAAGTAGACTTAAGGTTCTGAAAAGCCTTTTTTTCTATTTCTCCCCATCGCCAAGGCGATTGTTTCCTTAGTAATACAGTTAATGGGGCGGCTATTTCGGAATAATGCGCGCAAAATGCTCGGTCAAAATTCGCTAAGCCTAAGAATTTTTGTAACTCTTTGACGTTTTTGGGGGTGGTATAATCCTTTATGGCCTGAATACGCATAGGATCTGGTCGAACCCCCCGAGCATCAAGCACATATCCTACAAAAGGCATACTCTCCCTAAAAAACTTACATTTTCGTAACCTAAGAGTGAATCCGGCTTGGTGTAAACGCGAAAAAACTAGCTCAAGGTGTTCCAAATGTTTCTCAAAAGTCTCCGACAAGATCAAAATGTCATCGATATATATTTTTAAAAACTGTTCATAATCATGACCAAATATCTGGGACAAACACCTTGTAAAGGTGCTGACGCTTGACGATAATCCAAACGGCAAAACACAGAAACAGTAGGACCGACCATTAAACTTAAAACCCGTATATTTTTGCGATTCATTCGCTAACGGTATTTGCCAATACCCATGTGTAAAATCGATTGACGACATAAATTGTACCTTTGGAATGGAATGCAAAATTTCTTCAATGGGGGTAGGTGTTTCGTACTCCTTTTCCATTATGGAATTTAAATATCGCGCATCCAGGCAAATCCGGACAGTATTGTCCTTCTTAACCGTTGCCATTATGGGGGATATGTACGGGGTAGCCTGGCGTTTAATTACTCCCCATTCTTCCATTTTATTTAATTGACTTTGGACTGCCGCTCGGTGCATAACTGGAACGGGATATTGCTTTTTATGAAATTCTGCCATACCCTTAAGCCTAATGACATGTTCGTATTCTTTCGCCCGCCCGGGTATCTCCGAAAACAGATCTTTATATTTCTTTAATATGGTGCGTAAATGCCCCTTTTTATTATCGGGAATGGAGGCTACTTTGATTACCTCCTCCACCTCCGTGTCAAAATTTAGAGACCCCAAAAGGACGGTATTGATTAAATTTGATGTTTTCCGTAGAGCACACGCTAACTCGCTTGATTCCGAATACCCCAACTCCCCTTTTCTATTAATTTCAGAAACGGTGATCAATTCCTTATTTATAGTATATTCCAGTCTACCCTCGGCTAATGAAACAGTTATCGAGTACGCTCTTAATAAATCGTTACCAATGATAACTGGATGAATTAAATCCGGAATAAATAAAAATTCGTGAACTATATTACCGCTGCCTAGATAAAACGAAAAAAGCGATTGTTGTTGTACCTTACAATGTTTGTTTTTAAAAGCTCCGGCAACTCGAACACCAGTACAGGCAAATGTCGGAATTTGCCCATGAACATCGCTTAATTGAGCCCATACATTTTCATTATAAGCACAGACCTCACTACCCGTGTCGATCAACGCAGGGAAATTAAATTGATACAAATTAACGGATATAAAAAGTAACCCTTTTTTAATGGGTTCCGTAAGTTGCTCGGTTTCTTCCAGCAAGTCGTCACGCGGATTATTGATATTGCAATTGGCCCCGTTCTCTTTAATTTGCACATGGGGGCTTAGTTCATGTGCAAACGATCGAAGTTTTCCGACTCTTCCTCTGTAACCTCGGTGGTTTCGTGAGTATCCTCGAAATCTAATACAGCTAACGACCCCTTTTTCTTCGCGTTAAACCCCCTACCAGAATCTTTTTGAAAATGATTATTACGGTTACCAACACCCGTACCATCCGCCGTATTTTGCGTAACCCTTTCTCCATTAACACTTCTAAAAGTACTAAACCGATCCCTAAAACCACAAGAATCTCTATAGTAATAATCTGCCTGCCTCAGCCGGTCCATAGCCTCTGCAATATGCGTAGTTCCAACTAGTACCGCAGAAATATTCGGAGGATAATGCCTCGCTATTGTTTTAATTAATAATGGATCTGAATATGGGGGTTCTAAATATTTGGCAAGTGTCATATAATACATAAAATGGTCGACAAAATTGCGTCTACCTTCGGGATACCTAGCTGATTGCAATTTCAATCTAATTTCTAATTGTTTTGTTTCTGACCAATATTGCTCTTTAAACCCTTGTTTGAAGGTCTCGAAATCGGTGAAAGAATTTAAATATGCGCGACTCCACAACATGGCTGAGCCTTTAAACTGGTTGGCTAACAGGAACCGTAAACACTCAAAAGAAATTTTTTCAAACCTGTAAAAATATTCAATTTGGGTAATGAACTCCATCGGATGTGAATTTTCGGATCCATCAAATGATGGAAGTTTTTTTACTAAATCTAATGAGCCCGTGGACTTTACATTTTGTTCAATTACTTGTCTGGACTTATCATTTCCCTGAATAACATTCATTTTCGCTAAAGCTGATACAATTTGTGTAACTAAATCGACCATATCAGTTTGGGTATTACCACAAGAAGTGTTAATAAAATTATCATGTTTAACCTTCGTACCGCTGTTTTCCCTATTCTGATTGGTGATCACCTGTGATGGTAGATCCGGATTCCCAGTATCATTTGGATCTTG